TTGCTTACGTATTTTTAAAAAATATGACTGATTGAAAACAAATAAGTTTTCGACAAGAAAAGTATAAAATTGTTCGAAGTTTGCAACCATCTAATGGTAGGAGCTAAAAACATTATATTCATAGGTATAGACATTTGCTCACATTTGCCTAAACGTGAAAAGATAGAAGTATCCTTATTTGATACGGCTCTACTGGGACTTTCAAAAATATCCATATTCTGGGTTAGCTAGATGTTGATGATATATTTGTGGTTTCAGAACTATCTGAAAATCAAATTAAATCTTTAGTATATGAGTTTAACAAGTTAGACGAAAATTTGAAATTTGAGTATGAATACGAGAAAAGTAATACTATATCTTTCTTAGATGTGCAAATCCATTTTAAAGGAGCTAAATTATGTTTAGAAACAAATTGGTTTAAAAAACCAACAGCAAGTAACCGTTTGCCACATTATGAGTCTGATCATAATCTGGCAATGAAGAAAAATATTGCTATAAATATGATTAAAAGAATTCAGATAGCAAATAATGGAAATCATACTGATAATGACATGCAAATACTTATAAATATGTTGACGAATAGTGGTTATCCACACAATTTAGTAAAAAAAATTTTTCGAATGGTGAGAAAACAGAATAATGAGGATAGAAGAATGGTTGAGAATGAGAAAAATAGTAAACAGAGTGTTATTGTTATTCCTCATGTAAACGAATTGACAGAAAAATTAAGACATTTACTTAAAAAGTTTGGAGTCAGAATTTATACAAAACTTAATCCTAGTATAGGTGATATGGTTAATAAAGGCAATATAGTTGCTCTAAACAATATAAATAAAAATAAAACTAGTGAAGAAAAATGTATAAAAACCGGAGAATTTACAGTGTACGGGTTACCATGTGAATGTGGTGATTTATACACAGGTGAAACCGTATCATTATATAAAAGAATTAAACAACATAAAATGAAAACTAAAAGGTTTGATATAGAGAATTCTGAATTGGTTCAACATATCAGTGCTAATACCGGGTGTGCGATTAATTTGATGAAGTAGTTCCAATACTGGTGGTGAAAGAACTCATCAGAATACATTTTATGGTTTGAGGAGATGCCCTAAGAACAAGAAATACCTTGATGTAGGTTAATGTAGGTGTATGTTAATCAAATAATTTGTTTTTTGTAAGGAGTTACTTGTTTTATTATGTATGGTTTTGAATTTGTTGTTAACAATATATAGAGTGCCACGTTGTGATATTTTTGATATGTAGAAAAATAAAAAGAAGTAAAGAAAAGAAAAGAAAAGTTTGGCATACAGTTACAGAAATAAAAATTGTCGTCATATGTGTGTAATGGAATCTGTTTCGTCATATTTGGACAATTGTATTATTGTTAACATCTTATGTAAGATATTTGAAAAAGTTCCTTGTGACAATTTATGTTTAATGTTTTTAAAATGTATTGATCTAATTTAATCTAAATTTATTTTGATTTTCTGCCACTGAAGAAAATTTATCTAATAAATTGAAACGTCTGGCTTGACGTGTACAGTGAACAGAGAAAGTTGTTTCTTTGAAAAATGAGCATTTTGTATTTCATTTTGTTCCACCATCGAAAAATTCTCGGAATAATCTAATTGCATAATGCAAAATTTATCTGTCACAATGTTTTTCGTTGATTCAAAATAATGGGCTTATTGTCTTTTGATATAGACGTGAAATGAAAAATGTTAAATTCCCGTCCAACACTTTAAGACAATCGCGAACCGTTTCATTAAAGTTGAGCTTCACAGCGCGACCATTGTCCACCAAATCTGACATTTTCCATCACTAGCTTTTTGTTTAATTTTGTTTTAAAATTTTGTTTACAATCATCACACGTTCTGAACATACATGATTCGTTATTACAATCGCAGACCACTAGATCGACAAAACTATGGAGTTCAATTGTTGTATAACTTGTGATTTGATCTTTTAAGGCTTTCAGTAGGAGACTGACATTTTCATGATACTGGCATATACATTGATTGTGAGGTGTAGAGGGCTTGAAAACAACGTTTGGCGGACGTAAGTTAATAAATGAAGTACGACTAATACTAATCTGTGGATTTTCATCGGCGAAGAGCTGATATGCTTCACGCAAAGTGAATAATAGATATCGCTTTTGAAGTTTTTGTTTGATTCCATCAACGCAAACAGTCACCACATCACGCTTTCCTGGACCTTGAGAACTGATATCGTCTCGACAAAAGAAATCGGCTACTTGAGTTCTTACTACTTCCTAAGGACCCCGCCGTTTAAGAAAAACAACTCCGTTTGAGCTTATATTCTACAGTTTTGTAGAAGAACGGAAGGCGAATTTTTCTGTCGTCTCAGAATTTCTCTTCTAGACGAAACGCAAGTGATTCATGCTGAGTGAAAAAAAGTCGAAAAATGATACTTTTTTCAATAAAGCGTTTCTGTAGCCTAGGGGCGTGAGTATTTGAACTTCGTTGAAAGGCCATTTTGTTGCGCAAATGATGAGCATGTTTTGTGCCAAAAATCTTTTTGAAACAGCACAAGCTTAACAAACGCGAGCCAAATTACTCAAAGCAGTTTTTTGGACAAAACTGTACTCTTTAGAGAAAGTTCACTTGCGTTTCGTCTAGAAGAGAAATTGGC